TGAGGAATCTCCATACCGCTTTCCAGAATGGTTGCACCAATTTGCAGTCCCACCAGCAATGTATGAGTGATCATTTTCCCCCACATCCTTGCCTACGTTTATTGTTACTCTTGAAAATTATCATTCTGACTGGAGTGAGATGGAATCTCAGTATAGATTTAATTTGCATTTCTCTAATTGCTAGAGATGTTGAACATTTTTTCATGTTTGTTGATCATTGATATTTTTTCTTTTGAGAAGTGTCTATTTATTTCCTTTGCCCATTTATTGATTGGGTTATTTGTTTTTGTTTGTTTGTTTGTTTGTTTTAGGTACCAGAGATTGAACTCAGGGGCTTTCAACCACAGAGCCACCTTCCCAGCCCAATTTTGTGTTTTATTTAGATGCAGGGTCTCACTGAGTTATCTAGGGCCTCACTAAATTGCCAAGGCTGGCTTTGGAATCACCATTCTTATGCCTCAGCCTCTGGAGCCACTGGGATTACAGGCAGGTACCACCATTCCAGGCAGGGTTATTTGGTGTTGTTTGGTGTTAGGTTTTTTGAGTTCTTTGTATATCCTGGATATTAATGCCTATATGAGCAGCAGGTGATAAAGATGTTCTCCTATTCAGTAGGCTCTCTCTTCACATTCTTGTTTGTTTCCTTTTTGTACAGAAGCTCTTTAGTTTGATGCTATCCCTTTTGTTGATTTTTTAAAATTTTACTTCTTGAGCTTTAGGAGTCTTTGTTAAAGAAGTCAGTGCCTGAGCTGATATGCTGGAGTTGGGCTTACATTTTCTTAAAGCAGGTGCAGGCTCTCTGGTCTAACCATGACATCTTTATATATCAACATAACAAAAATCAGGCCTAGAATTATTTCTGATCAGGAGCTCAGGTTCCCAGGAAAGAGTCAAAGCTGAAACTCCTAATTTTGGTTTTTCTTTCTTTCTTTTTTCATACCCAGGGATTGAACCCAGAGATGCTTAACCACTGAGCCACATCCCCAGCCCTTTTTTTATATTTTATTTTGAGACAGGGTATCGTTGAGTTGCTTAGGGCCTTGCTAAGTTAATTTTGTTTTTTCTTAGGTGTAAAATGTTTTTGGTTTTTGTTTTGCCTAAGCATGGTATGTGAACTATTTACTGATTTAGGGAACAGGGCAGATTTTTGTTTCTATAGGTTGTGGTGAGATGAAATCAGTTAATAAATGTTAGAACAATACCCGGAGGCATTCTGTGTATTAACTATCGCTATCCTTTTTGTTTACTTGTTTGTTCTATATTTTTTGCAGTATCATTTTTTTCCCCCTAGTTCACCTTCTCCTTTATACTAAAACATAGACCAGTGGAGGTAGAAGAGCCACAGTACCTGAACCAGTTTCTTTGGGCCCCTATGCAAAAGATCCAAGTTAATCTTACCTCTCTTGTGGTCCTGTTGTTCTTCCTATTTTATCCTATTTGGTGAGCAGTGGATCCTAGTAGCAATCCCCCCCCTCCTTTTTTTAATGCAATTAATTTATTGGTTTTGCTGTGCTGGGGATTGAACCCAGCCAGGGCCTCAGGTATGCTAGGCATGTGCTCTACCAATGAGCTATATCCCCAGCCCTCTCCTCTTCTTAAGGAGAAAATTTTGTTCTTAGGCAAATGTTCATACTGAAGTGAAGGTAACCAGGTTCTCATTGCATCCTTGTGAAAAGGGAGGGAGAGCAGCTGGGGTAAGAGGACAGTTAGCCTGGGGCCTCCAGGGGTGAGCCTTGACCAGGGTGTGGAGTCACCAGTGAGCACATTGAGGAGCACAGTGGCCACAAGGCTGAGCCTGGCTTAGGCTCAGATGGTCTTTTCCAAGGGCTCCAACATGGAGCGCTTTCCTGGAAGTTTGTTTACTCATTCATTTGGAAAGCAAGCATCTCCTGGGTTGAGTAACTAATGTTATTGAGCATCTGCTATGTTCCAGCTCAGGCTGTGAGGCTATAGCTGGGACCAAACAGACAAAAATCTTTGTCCTTGAGGAGCTTATGCCTTGGTGGGGGAACAGATAACAAACAAGACAGATAAATAAAATATTCAGTATGTTAGATAGTGATGAATGTTAAAAGAAAAATGATGTGGGGGAGGAAGGTGGTGGATAGGGAGAGGGAGCTGTGATCTTAGCCCCTTGAAAGGCCTCCCCAATAAGGAGAAACTGGAGTCAATGCCCAGGGGAGGGTGGTGAGGTGAGGCAGGCCGGTGTCTGGGGAAACATATGTTGAACTCCTAAAAGAGCAGAGGTCTGCATCAGGAGAGGGAAGGGCCTGGCTTTTGTAGAAATCCAGCAGAAAGCCACAGGAATCTGAGCTAGGTTTCTCATTCTACAAAGGGCAATACAAAGTGTGTCCCTCATGTGTTAACAAATGAAAATTGAGAAGCGTAATAAACTATATTCAGTAAATGCAAGATCTATAATTTCAAAATAACTAATAAATTCTATCTCTTTTCTATAAGATTATTTATATAACTTATAGATCCTAGCATAGCCTGGGACTTTAGCAACCATTTGTTGTTAGTGGTTCCTTTTGTTGTTATTGTTGTTTTAATTTTTTAATATATATATTTTAGTTGTTGATGGACCTTCATTTTATTAAATTATTTATATGTGGTACTGAGAATTGAACCAGTGCTGCACACATGCCAGGCAAGTGCTCCACCGCTGAGCCACATCTGGAGCCTGTTAGTGGTTTCTAAACTTGCCAGATGATAGGAATCCACTGGACTGCTTGGTTTAAAGGTAGACTCCACCCCTGTCCAGAGGAGGGCTCTGAGACTCTGTGTATTTAAGAGCTCCCTTGGTGATTCTCTTAAAGGGCAGGTTTGAGAGACTTGTTAAGTCTCAAAAACAAGGAAATGGAAGCTTATCGAGGGTGATGTCTTGGTCAAGGTGGATGGGTCAATTGCGGGCAGAACCAGGAATGATTCTTAGATTTCTCAAGTCCCTTGTCCATGAAAGGTTTTTTGCACAACACAAAGATCACCTCTGATATTTAAACTTGGGACACAATAAGATACAAGGCCTAAAAGCTGAGGCTGGCTCAGACATCTGTTAGGATGTACTGGAAATGTACCAGTTATTATAACCAAATGGCACACTGAGTTGTCCTGGCAGCCAAGACTGCAGGAGAATTGAGTTGGGTTATTCCATTCAATAACACAATGTATAGTTATTTCATTTCATGAGAACATCTTTTTCCTCTAACAGATTTTTAAATTTTTATTTACTTATTTTGTACTGGGGATTGAACCCATGAGCACTTTACCACTGAGGTACATTCCCACCACCCTCCCTTTTTTTGGGGGTGGGGTACGGGGGATTGAACTCAGGGGCACTCAAGCACTGAGCTACATCCCCAGACCTATTTTGTATTTTATTTAGAGACAAGGTCTTACCAAGTTGCTTAGTGCCTCACTTTTGCTGACGCTGGCTTTGAACTAGTGATCCACCTGCCTCAGGCTCCTGAGCCGCTAGGATTATAGGTGTGCACCACAGTGCTCAGTCATTTTTTTTTTTTTTTTTTTTTACTTTTTTATTTTGAGTCAGGGTTTTGCTACATTGCCTAGGTTGATCTTGAACTTGAAATGTCTGGCCTCAGCCTCCCAGATTGCTGAGATTAGAGGTGTGTGCCACTGTGCCCAGCTTCATCTAGCACATTTTGACTTCCAAACCCTCCGCCTCCCTAGCATGGCAAGTAGAAAAGAAAAGAGAAGATAAGGAGGGAGAAAATGGCAAGAGGAGATCTATATTTCCCCAACTGCAGTGATTTCTTCGTTGTAATTTCTCTTCTGTGGGTGGTCTGGAGTTTCAGGCTCTCAGGCTATGAGTGACATGAGCTTGAAGGGACCCTGGAATAGATTTCTTGAAAATAGGTTTTTGATGCTGCCTAACATTCTTCATGAATGTGTCGGCTGTGAGGCCTGAAAAGACAAAGCACAGTGTGACCCATGGTGGGTTGTAGGACCCTCTGTGTTACTGGGCAGTACGTTCTCATTTGGGGTCAGAGGTCAGGTTACACTGCTCTTCCTCCACAGACATTTGGTGTCAAATTAGTAGGAATTTTTTTTAAAAAAAATAAATGCTGGTTTTATTCAAATCCAGGTTTAAAGGAAGATGGAAGAAACCTTTTGTCTCAATATCTCCATCTTATTAAAAGCTAAAAAAGACAATTGGCCTTGATTCAAAAGGAACAGGAGAGTCCCAATTGAATTCCGTTAGTTCCCTTCCTCCAGGAAGGTATTATTCCCTTCCACAGGTGGTATTATAGTCCCTTATGGCTGCCATTCAGTTTCTAGCAGCCTTGCCCAGGAACCCTTCCTGGATCCTGGCTGGCTGAATTCAACTGGGCACCCATATAAGAAATAAGAAATAGGCAAAGGATGGGAAAAGGAAAAATGAACTTTTGCACTTTGGGAGAGAAGCAGCGAGATTGCTTCTCTACTCTATAAATCGGTTATGATTTATAGAAGCAAGAGCCAGGTGATATTCATATGTAGATATAGCCAAGCTGTGTTCATCAGAATGTGACAGTCTTAGCTGCCTTGTTATCTGTTGGACCAGAGGGTGCAGCCCTCCAGTCTTTACTTCCAGAGTGAGGAATTTGTCCTCAGTGTCAGAAGGGTGCTGCATTGGAGTCTGGTCTGGACTGGAAGGTGAATGGTCGAGCCAGGTCTCCTGGGGGCTGGGCGGTTACTGCCTTGTAGTAGCATCTGTGACTCTGCTGTGCTCCATTGGGCAGGAGGGGTTGGTTGGGATTCGTGCATGCATGTGTGTGTGTGCTCTGCATGTGATGGTCCCCTGCCACACTGGGGGAACCTAGCTAACACACTCCTCCAGAGTTATGTTTGACTACATCAGTGACTTTGGCTTTCTGGGCAAATCTGGACTCCTAGGGAAAAAAAAGTTTCTCTCTCCAAGCCTGCCCTATGGTGCAGGAGGAGACACACAATTGCCTTTGTTGTTTGTTCTTCCCGTGTGGGGACAGAAGCCCTTTCAGTTGGTGTGGAATGTACAAGAGTTTTATGCCAACAGCTGCTGGGCCTTGGCCTGGAATCCTGCAGATCAGGCTGAGTAGGGGAGTTGGTTGCTTCATCCAAAGTTCCCCTGGGTCCTATCTGCCATATCTCCATGTGGTCAGGGTCTACCACAGGGGCCTCACTGCCTGCTCCGTCTCCTCTGAGCGTAGCTGTGATCTCCTGTGACATTCCTGTCCTAATCAAGGGCTGAGAACCCGTGGCCTGTGCAGGTAGGTGCTGTGCCAGGGTTCGTGACTTCATTCCACCCTCCTAACTTGGAGTTGCATGGTGTTATCTCCACTTTGCCTCTGAGGACACCATCTTCAGAAGGGCCTCAGGGACAATGCTGAGCCTAGAGCTGTGGCATTAAAGGGAGGGGATGGCTCTGCCCCCGGAGCTTGAGCAGAACAGGGCCTCAACCAGCAGTGGTCATGCTGTTATTGGAAACTTAAATGAAACAAAAAAACACAACTCTGGTGGGAAAAGGGAAGGAGTGGAGGAAGGCCACCAAAAAACT